TCTGGTGTGTTCCAGCCTGGGTTTTACATAAGCCGAAAAATTTCAGCAATTCACTGAAATTAATTTGTCGTCAATTCGTGACGAGTTGCTCAGAGAGCTGAACAGCGAAGCTGTAACGGTTGAACTGGATGCTGACAATTCCCGCGAAAGAATCCGTACCGTTTCTGAGCAAAAATTTCGAAATGCCTTGGAGCGCGTTTTGCAAAGACATCCAGAACTGACACAACAAAAGCTTGGATCCACGGAAAGTACCCCGACTAGCGCCGGCAGTAACACTCGCACGCATGCTTCTGGTATTATTTTGTTGATTTTTCTGCATTTTTATGATTCGGGAGAACATTAAAGGGCACAGAGATTAAACCGTTCTACTATGTATGTGTGCGCATGTTAATCCACATGCCTACTCGCGTATTTCAGCTCTCAAGCCATGCAAGCTGGGAGGGTGAGTTTTTGTAAACCGTCAGCTGTGCACAGGACTGAAATTGATATCATTCTAAAGATCACTTTGTGCACTTGCCCTTGACTTTAATCGAGATTCAGACAAATTCTATAAGCACCGAAGCAAAAAGGTCAAAAGCTTAAAATTTTGAAGAAGCTTTCTGATCCAGTGCATGAAGCCAAAACTTGAAGCTGGGATATTCTACTTTCAAGTGCGGTATTAATTTTGCTTGAAAGTGAACTTGCTGACAGGTGGGCGTAAGAAATACTCAACTCTACCGAAAAATTGGAAACGAGTGCGTTTCGCAGTATAACTGTCCTCATCCAATTATGTAAATGAACATTCATTTGCATACTTGAATTTTTTGACAAACGATCACTCGAACAATACTTCCACTTTTTAGTGAACTGGAAATTTGCATCCTTTCCAAAAATTTGCATTTTTCATTTATTCAAAAAGCGAGCATTTACCGAAAAACAACCGGGACTCATGCAAAAAACTGGTAATCATGTACCCGGAGATCCGTGCGGCTATGTGATGCACCATCTTAACCCCCAACCGGCGCCCTTCCTCCTGCATGTCAGAAAGGGCCAAAGCACGGCCGATGTGAGACCAGGTGTTAGTCTACTGCGCAGGGATCATTCCTGCTGTTAGCGACCTGCGAGTTTAGTGCAAAAACGCATGATTGCACCGGCAAGCCACGTACGTCCCAGCCTCGATTTAGATCTTAAATTGAGTGCCGCGGGTTTAAATGTCATTTCTTGCAGATGGTTTGTTAAGTTCGCAGTTGATCTGTCAGTTTTTTATATTTGGTGCTCTGTTTGGAGTTGTTTGCTCGATTTCGACGTGCACGTGCTGTTTGCAACCAAGAAGCGATCGTCAGAGGAGTATGCAACTCAGTGGTATGCTACCAGGATTATTATGCGTTTTTGCATATATGCAAATGCAAAAAATGCACGATTGCACGGGCCAGCTGGGTGCGTGTCGCCAATGATTTTTGCTGTGCTCCGTTAATTTTCTTGTAATGTGAAATGGGCCCGCTTTTTTAGCGGCAGTGCCTAAATTCCTTTGTGATGAGGTTTTGATAAGCGGGAGGGCGAAGGGGAAGGGGAGGGGGGGGGGGG